AGCTCAGGATGACCAAGCCTATGAGGCGTATGTCGCTTATACTTTTTATTTAGCTAGCTTCCTTGCTTACTAAGGAAGAATTGATGGTTATAGCAATAAAAGAAATAATAAATCAGATTGTTCTAGCTCACAATCAAAACTTTGATGTTGACCTTAACAAGTATCCTTATTTATTAATTTGTTAAGACTTAAATCTTCTGTATCTAGCAAATTTAACCTATCCTCTCAGCCAAAACTTGTTGACATCATTTCTGCTGTCCCTTTAGAGCACAAAAAATGGCTTATACCCATACTCAAAGTCAAACCTGTCAGGTCTGCAAGTGGGGTATCTACCATATTTTCTAATTAATAACAGATAGTCGTAATTGCAGTTATGTGCAAACCTCACAGATGCCCTCATATCGCTATGACGGGAAATGTGTGCGTGTATGTCACATTCGAATCGTCATTTTAGTTATTGTCCTGGTGGACCTGATTCAGATTTTGAATATTCTACACAATCATATACTGGATATGAGGTAGCACAATTTTATTCCTATTAAATAGCCTACATCAATGAGGGCGATAAGGGCAAGATATGATCCTTATTTACAAACTCGTAATCGGATAGAGCAGGTGAATTATTTCTATGGCTTATGTCTTTAGCTTCAGCAACTTGGCCACGAGTGTGATAAGGTCGAATTTATAATTATGGGAGGGACATTTATGTGCCTTTCAGAAACATATCGAGATTACTTCATAAGGTATAATTTAATAACTTGTGTGAATACTCTAGGAATTTGCATGATGCCTTGTCAGGACATAAAAGTCATAGTGTAGAAGAAGCTGTAAGGTAATTCTTATCAATATCTATATTTAAAAAAGTTATTCTGAACGTAGCAAAACTAAATGTGTGGGTATAACTATTGAGACAAGGCCTGATTATTGTCTGAAAAAGCATTTGGGGTAGTTACAATATAGCCAATAAATCGTTTAGAGAAATGCTTATGTACGGATGCACACGTTTAGAGGTTGGCGTTCAGAGTGTTTACGAAGATGTTGCTAGGGACACCAATCGGTATGTTTATTGGTTGTGTTCTTGTTTTATCCATATTATAATTTACTCTTAAATATCTCTTATTAGTGGCCATACTGTAAAAGCCGTATGCGAATCTTTTCAACTAGCAAAAGATGCTGGCTTTAAGGTTGTTGCGCACATGATGCCTGATCTACCAAATGTCGGTTGGGAAAGAGATCTTGCTCAGTTTTCCGAATATTTTGAGAATCCTGCATTCCGATCCGATGGGCTAAAGATTTATCCTACCCTCGTGATCCGAGGGACAGGTCTTTATGAGCTTTGGCGTACTGGCCGCTATAAAAGTTACCCTCCTAGTATACTTATTGATCTCATTGCCAAAATTCTTTCTCTGGTACCCCCATGGACACGTATCTATCGCATCCAAAGGTAAATATAAATTAAATAACCTTGTTTGTTGGGCTGTGAATAATGCTTATACATTTTATATAGAGATATTCCAATGCCTCTAGTTACGAGTGGCATCGAACACGGAAATCTACGGGAGATAGTCTTGGCACGAATGGATGAGCTAGGTGCTAAATGTCGAGATGTTAGAACTCGAGAAGTTGGTATACAAAGCATACACAGTGGTATTAGGCCATATCAGGTTGGTCCATTATACTTTATTCATACGATTATTAGTGACACTTCCGGAGTTGAATTTTCTCATTCCAATTGCCTTTTATAGATTGAGCTTGTTCGTCGGGACTATGTAGCAAATGGAGGCTGGGAAACATTTTTGGCGTATGAAGACCCTGTGCAAGATATTCTTATTGGTCTTCTGCGTCTTCGCCAGTGCTCGAGAGAAACTTTCCGTCCAGAATTAAGGGCAGCATCTGAACCCAACACTCATTCATGGGACCCTAGATGCTCAATCGTTCGTGAGCTCCACGTCTACGGTAGTGCAGTGCCAATTAGCTCTAAAGATCCAACAAAATTTCAACATCAAGTAAGTGGTCTATTCTGAAATAGGAAGATTTTTTAGACATTCTGAAGTGTCTTCAAGATTGGGGACTAAGACATTGTGACCTTTGTTTTTGTGTCTCATTTCTCAATATGGATTTGATTCGGGCTAATCATGTTCTCAGGGAGGCTTTGATGAACTTATTTGCTGTTCCCTGCAATTTTTATCGTCTTCCTCGGCCGGCGAAACGTCAGGGGATTTATTATGTCATTGGTTCGCTACGTAAAGATGACAGCAATGGCAGACGCCGCTGTGCTAATTATCTCCTTCGAAGTCTTAATGAGAACATGCAAATTGGCCAGACCATGGTTTATATAAAATATTAAGCAAGTACAATGTCTATCTCAGTAAACTTACTGCTTCATTTAATTTTTGCCTTTAGGCTATCTATTGCGGAAAGGGTTCGATTTTGGTTCTTAATTTCGTTACACTTTTTTATCTAAAAGTGTTCTCACTCGGGATTGAATACCTTTTC